TTAAGTATATATATTTAAATGTAACCGGGGCAAAACAAATGATAAGTTTATAAGATTATTAAAACAAATGATAAGTTTATAAGATTATTTCTATAATAAGTAATTTATTATTATATATAATATATCATTATATAATTGTTTGTTATTATTACGTAATAGTAAATTTATTATTTCTATAATTAGTTTACTACTTTTTAATAATTTCTATCCAGTGATATCATACCGGCGAGTCCAAGAAGAAAGCGACGAATTATTGTGTACGGGTTACGGTCACTCGTTATGGTCCGCAGTCACTTGTATTGGTTAAGTTCAAGCGTTCGAAGCAGTAAAAGAAAAAGTTTCGCCGTTATTTCGTAGCAAGCCCGTTTTATAAATCAGTGTACGTGTTTTCGTTTGGTCGTAAAAGATTCCAAAATTCACGTCAACTTCGATGGATGACACACTCTGACGTCGATCTTCGGATCGCTCTGGATCGAATGTTCTCTAAACATTGTTGGACTCTCATCGAAACTCATCAACAATTGATAATTCTGTTTCGCTGGCGGCGTTTAAATTATGAAACAACTTCGGTGAAGTAAACGCTTTCAACTATGTAGACGTTAATTCAGTCGCGTCGTCGTCGGGATGATTTTACTTCCTGTCATCTGAAATTCATGTCGTTGCTGGCTGCCGCGCTCAAACCGCCGCGTAAAGAGGTTGGCACGGTGCGTTAAATATTGAACAACATGCTCGACGCCGCGCAATTTTCACCGGTTTATTGATTATAAATACACATTGTGTTTCCGTTGTGTTCCGCAAAAATCCGCGTGGCGAATGTGTTTCGATGTATACCTTTGGAGATCGTGCTCGGATTGTTCTTTATCCCGCGTGATTACAAAACACTCTGGCGAGAAATACTCTGGAGAAAAGTTCTCGCGGTAGCGCGAGACGCGTGGTTGGCGACCTCGATGAATCGAGATAAACGTTTTCACGGGTTTCGGTACCTGCATCTATCTCCACCTCCTCCTCCCCTCCTTTTGGGGGGAGGGGCGGTATCGTCATCTGCCAGTTTCCCCGCATCAAGCATATCTACTGCCTTAATCCATTCGAACGTTATCTCATGAACGAGATAAGTTGCTCCGGCGAGCTGCTTCACCCCGGAACCGTTTTCATCCCTCCGCTGCATCTCCATCGAGCCATTTTAATCAGGACCGCCGATCGATACGGATAGACACGATCGAAACTGGCTTTCAAGGTAGCTGTGCGCGGTTTTATAGACGAGGATTAAATCGAACTGCAGGGCGGGCGGCGGAGGGTGGTGTGTGTTCTCTTCGTTCTACAGTTTGGTAGATGGAGCCGCGTGGCCAGGCGTCTAGTAAGTGGATAGTTTATGGTGGTCCGTGACTGGTAGCCTAGCGGACCACCTAGCAATTCTGGTTACGCGATTAAAATTTAATGGCATTAACGGTTATTATACGGTTGCCTCCTCCTCCTCCCCTAGTAATTGTTTTCTTTTTACTGCCACTGCAATTGCACGCTTCCGACAGACCCTTAATCGCAGAGAAATATGACTTTTCTTTTGGGAACAGTGTTGAATTCATTCAACATTTTTTTTGGGATTGGTATATGTCAGTTGGTATTTACGGCATTTTATGAGATGGTCGATTGGATTTTCGACGTTCCGACAGCTGACAATTTTATGATATTTTCTGTATCCTCGTGTGTACGTGTGCATGCGTGTGCAGGGAATTTAATCAGAATCCACACACGGAAACTCTGTCGTTCGATCGAAATTAGCTGTATCGCGGCACGCTTTCCTAGATGCAGTGTCAGATCGACGCATTTCCTATTGTCTGCGTTCCGTGTTTGCGATCTAGATAAGCCAGGCATTTAATAAATAGAAGGATCGATTCTCGTCGAATTCGGTTAATTGATTTAGTTACGATTTTATATATCGTTCAGCGATATTATATAAAAAGCCATTGGATGTAAAACTTTGCATCTATCTTCGTACTTATAGGAGATGATATTTCAATCGTTTGAAATATCCTGGAGAGGTGAGTGGACTTTCGTTCTCCAGGGATGTGTCGTTACGCTGGTACTTAAAATGGCTCTCAATGTAAAGTAATTGGCGGCTGTGATTCATCCTCATTCATATTAAATTTTAATTAGTATTACGTATTAAAAATGTTATTCTCGTATGTAGCTTGGTATTCATCTTTTAATTCCATTTTAAATCTAACACATCTGTAGATGTTAGGGATTTTCAAGAATTGGCCAATTTTTTAGGGATCGAAGGTAACGAATGTTTAATCTCTTGCACGTCGAGAATGTTTTGTCCCAAGTTGCAACATTTTCTCAGTTTTAAGTATATATTTAAATGTAACCCGGGCAAAACACAAATGATAAGTTTATTATTTCTATGATAAGTAGTTTATTATTATATATAATACATTATTATTATTAATTGTTTATTATTACTATGTAAGTTTGTTATTTCTATAATAAGTTTACTATTTTTTTAATAATTTCTATCCAGTGATGTCATACCGACGAGTTGAAAAGAAAAAGGGAGCGACGAATTATTGTGTACGGTTTGGTCACTCGTTATGGTCCGCAATCAGCTGCCAGCGCAAATGGTTAAAGCTACCATTAAATTTACCAGCCACTTTTAAATTGTACATGTAAAAGCTGTTATATTAAATGTCACAGCTACTCTTTCTATCAATATTCTGTTAATTAACTATAATTGTATATATTAAAGGTACTATATTAAATATCACAGCTATTCATTCAATATTCTGTTAATTAACTATAATTGTATATATATTAATCTCTTGCGCTGGAATAACGTTCCACGTCGAGAATTTTTCATCCCAAAATTGCAATATTTTCTCAATTCTAAGTATGTTTAAGTATAACTCGGGCAAAGCAAATAATAAATTTACTACTTCTCAATAATTTCTATTCATAGTGATATCACACCGACG